GTCCGTTTCTTACATATGGTTGTATTCTATGATGTCCCATCTATCACTTCTGGGATGCTTAGGTGTAATGATGTTCAATTTTCCGAGATATTCTTGAATCTTTCTGGAGCCCATATGCACTCGTGAAACGTCTGGTGATGGCAGCCATTTTGAATGTGACAAGAGATGACCTCAAGCTGTGACGTCGCGTTTATGCAAATTGCTTGTCGAGCGAGGGCGCGAGTTGCAAATGCGACGGCTGTTTCCTGTACCATGCATTTATCGTCTGGGGGCCACATGCACTGATCTCTATTCAGGATCCACGGCACAGGAAACAGCCGTCGCATTTGCAACTCGCGCCCTCGCTCGACAAGCAATTTGCATAAACGAGATGTCACAGCTCTTGAGGTCATCTCTTGTCACATTCAAAATGGCTGCCATCACCAGACGTTTCACGAGTGCATATGGGCTCCAGAAAGATTCAAGAATATCTAGGAAAATTGAACATCATTACACCTAAGCATCCCAGAAGTGGGGGTCAGACAAGTCGACTGTTGAGAGAACTCGACTCGGGACGAGTCGACCGTTGAGACAACTCGACTGTTGAGACAACTCGACCGTTTGTGCGATGAATGGAAAGACAACTCGACCGTTGAGACAAGTCGCCTTGCATGTTTTTGGGCTTAGTTTTGGGATAGTACCGGGACTTTTGACGGCGGCCAAGTTTTTTTGTTGCATATAACAGAGCCGATATAGCGCAGCGTGATTGTCCGTTTTTTCCGAGCCTGTGCGCGCATCCCCGGTCAACGTGGCCGTACCGTGCCCGGTGGCATCGTTTTTGTGCCGGGCCTGTGCGCCCACTTGCATGTCAACTTGTCCGTACTGTGCACGGTGGCATTTTTTTTGTGCCGGGCCTGTGTGCCCACTTGCATGTCAACTTGTCCGTACCGTGCACGGTGACATCGTTTTTGCCGGGCCTGTGCGCCCACTTACCGCGATGGTTGACGTGCCGTATGCTGGGCCCGGTCCTCGCGGCCCGCCCGACGAGCGCGACGGCCACCGGATCGGAGCGCCCTCTGTGCATCGAGTATGCCCGCGCCGCGCCCGGGACCGGTCCTGCCACAGATTTTTGCAACTTTTCCCGCTCCACGTGTATACATTTCCATTAAGTCGAGCTGTCTCAACGGTCGAGTTGTCTCGAGTCGAGTTGTCTCAACGGTCGACTTGTCTCAACGGTCGAGTTGTCTCAACGGTCGACTTGTCCCGAGTCGAGTTGTCTCAACGGTCGACTTGTCTGACATCCCCAGAAGTGATAGATGGGACATCATAGAATACAACCATATGTAAGAAACGGACCGTAATTTTTATGAAAATGCCCTCAGTAGTGCGCGGGGCATCAGGTCAACTCGGACCCATGCCAAGTCGGACCCATGCCAAGTCGGACCCACGCCAACTCGGACCCACGCCAACTCGGACCCACTACCAACTCAGACCCACTACCAACTCGGACCCACTACCAACTCGGACCCAAGACCAACTCGGACCCAAGACCAACTGGGACCCATGACCAACTCGGACCCAACAATGACTTAATCATTAGTTTCAGAGATTATATTTATAGATCATCTTAATGTTACAGTGCTTATAGTGAAGATATTCTGTAATTATATTGGTCAGAATGGGGCTTTTAGTTTTGTTGTTTGATCATACTACGTTGACTTTGCTCTCTATAACTCATTCACATGAAGAAATGGATATCTATGTGCAATGTTTTCCTTTTTCATCTGCTTTTTCTGTGTGTGCCAAATAATATAAACCAAATTAAATCACACCCAATGAAGGATTTCAATATGTCACAGAAAGGTAATCATCAAGTTAAGGAAATTAGGAATGCAGTTCGAAAATGTCAAACACAATGCATGCAGTAACATTGATCTGTCAATCATTCTCCCCCATTCATAGCGCTGCGCACCAGCGCCAAGAGATTAATCTTCGCGGATGAACCAACGCGCGGTCCCCGGTTCACACAAACAGCGGCAAGTTCATTCAGCAGTATCGGCACCCCTTGATCAGTTCAGTGAAGCGGGTAAAAAGGTTACCACTGCGAAGATCGAAGTGAATGAAAGATAATTCCTAATTAGAAAGACTAATCTGACTCAGGAACATTCAACCAATTCACATGCTGGCCTTGAAGTTTGTGGTTTTTTATACGACATTGTTTAATCTTTCATACTTTTTTATAAATATATTATGGAACCCGACATGTATTTCCAAGCTCTATCGATTACCCGAAAAAATTCAGAATTTGACTTTTTATACTTCATTTATTATGGAACCTTCGTTTTCATTGAAGTGTATGCCAAGATGTTTATTTATTATTTTTTTTAATAGAACGCTTTTTAATTTTAATTATTTTTGGGTACTTGGAAATGGCACGTTTATACGTTTATACTCCTGTCATTTAATAATAATATTTTTTTACCCATTTAGGCAGTTAATTTCATTTAATTATATATTTAAATTCACTTACTTTGTTTTCTGGTATAAGCATATTACACATTTTGTTCAGTGAGGAAGTTATTAATTTGAAATAGGCCTTTCATTTCATGTAATTGTTTTTTTTTAATAGTATTTTTTTACGATTCTGTTTAACCTTTTATACTTTTTTGATTATCTTTTTCCCCCATGGAACATCATAGTCGAACATACAGGCAGCTACCTGTAAGGCCTTGAAGGATAATCTTCCCAGAGCTCCAATACTCCTTTTTGTGGGTATTTAATAAGTTGATCTTTTTTTTAGTTCACATGCTGGTTTTTTTTTTACGAATCTGTGTAACTTTTTATATTTTTTTTATTAACCTTTTTTGTTCAATATGGAACCTTCATTTTTCTTGCAGTGTATGCAGTGGTGTTTATGTGGTTTCTTTTTTTTAAATACATACATTGTGTACATGTAGAGATTAGAAAAGACTTTGTTTTTATACCTTATTTATTTTATTTAATGGCTTATAATGTTTACTTATATTTATTGAATTAATAATGTCATGTTTGAAAGTGTTTATGTTTCAATGTCATACTTTCCAATTTTATTTTTCTATGAAGATCTGTTCTGAATTTATGTGGTTTGAATTAAAAATGAAATAAATTGCTGTTAAATTGAGCAAGATGGCGTGAACGATGTCAAATATGAAAATGAATAATTAGTTAAACTTTAATTTTAATTACTTTTGGTTAAAGCGCAATATGTTTCAATGGAAACAAATAATAAAAATAATTAATTACACTTGAAAAAGCGCATTTCAAAATAGCATTTCAATGCGCTTTACAACGACAAACTGCTGCAATACAGATATTTCACCTGACAACTACAATGAAAATTTATACTTAACAGCATCACTGTATTAACAGATGATAAGTGGACAAACTTTATGAAATTGTCGAATGATTGAAAACGCTGTCAAATGATTGTAAACGATGGGTCCGAGTTGGTAGTGGGTCCGTTTGGTAGTGGGTCCGAGTTGGTAGTGGGTCCGAGTTGGTAGTGGGTCCGAGTTGGCATGGGTCCGAGTTGGCATGGGTCCGACTTGGCTTGGGTCCGACTTGGTTTTGGGTCCGAGTTGGATCGAAACCGTGCGCGGTACACACGGTGTGTGGCCAGAGGTTCAGCGCAGTATACCGCGGCC